TAAAAACAAAGTAATAAAATTTACATCTTATCTGAAGATATTTATTGAGTAATTTAATTTTATAGTTATTATAATAATACATTAATATTACTTTTTTAATAATATATTTAGTAATGTATAAATAATATATTTTTATTTTTATCTTAATATAAATGAGTACAGATAACACTTCTAAATCAAAATCAAAGTCCTTAAAAACTTTTTTCAAAGATTTGTTTTCTTTTAACAAAAAAATCAAACTACAAAGACGGACCCATTAAAATAAATAGATACTTCTGAAATTATTAAAGTAAGAAAAGCATCACTCCAAAGAGTGAACGATGTAACACCAAAACAGTATTTGGTATGAGTTATTCTTAAAATAAAATTGATGAAAGTGAAAATGAATATGATATTGAGCAAAGCATCGACACATCTAAAAGATGTGGTGAAAAACATTCTGAGCAAAGCATCATGCCGAAGGCCAAACAAAGACCAAACTTTTTCTAATATTACTTCTAAACATATTATTGAGTTACAGAAGATTATAAACAAATACAATTTAAAAGAAATAGATATGTTAAAACAATGTAACAAAGAAATCAATAGATATATTAATAATAATCCATAAGTTGACTTAATCAATACAAAAGATTTAAATGCTGCTATTTATATTAATGGTTATGTATTTTATTAGATTAAAGGTAAACAAACATTAATTAAGATACAATATAGAATTACGAAAAATGATTGAAATAAAAAAAACAAAAATATAGACGGCGAAAAGCAAGAATAATTACAATTATTACTTAATAAAACAGAAGAATTAGAAAACAATCAAAATAATATGAGAGATGGAATTATAAATAAGATTATTCCTATATTAGAACATTATATTACTGTTAATAATTTAAATGTTAATAAATTGGTAAAAAATATTAAACGATTATTTTGGCGTTTTGAACGATTTCCCGAAATGTTACAAATTTGTTCGTTAAAGAACAATAAAAAAAATTTAACTGTTTTAAACTACAGTCATGCGAAAAAGCTGTCGCGTTTGGAAAAACCTGTCTCGGGTGGTAATGAACTATTCTAGTACTATAAACAAATGATCTGAAATAGAAAATGTTATTTGGAAATGCCGAATATTTTTATTCGATTTTTGTGAA